CTTTACAGTTTCTCCTCTAGAAAGATAATTTATTTATCAATATCTTATAAATAAATAATAAATGTACATCTCCATGTATAAGTGGAGAATTGTACCAAAAAAATATACATGCATGTGTCAATTTCTTCCATAGAGCACTGGAGTATGTGTTCATGCATGCATCAATTTTTGTTTTGTAGATTAACATACGCTTTTGATGTTAGTTACTGCATGTAGTTGGTGTAATGGTTCTTAATGCGTAGATCCGATGCTATTGTAGACTGATCTAGTATATCCAACGGCTAAATTAATTTGGATGATGTGGCTCAAAGAGAAGGGAGAGAATTCCTAATAGTGGAGGCTAGCTATTTTGATATAGAAGATGCATGCATCAGATTTTGTTTTGTAGATTAAGATACTCTTTAGGCGTCAGTTACTACATGCATTTGCATGCATGCATGTGCATGTAGTTGGTGTAGTGGTTCATAATCTATAGATCTGATGGCTATTGTAGACTGATTTAGTATATCCAACTGCTAAATTAATTGGGATGATGTGGCTCAAGGAGAAGCGAGATAATTCCTAGTAGTGGGGCTAGCTATTTACATATAGAAATTACATATCTTATATAGTATCATTTCAACAGATTTGATGATGCTGTTTTCGGTATATGCCATAGTCTCTAAAGCATTACATTAAAAAGTATCTGGCAAATTGATTAATGTCATTTTTGATCTCACCATGTCATACATAGTTTGATTACATCAACTCAAAACATATATCTGGAAAAATGTTAATCATCTATTTGGAAAATGTTTAATGAACATATATCTGGAACACGTAGTCATCAAAACATATATCTAGTCAAAAGTATACGTCAAAACATATATCTGAAAAAACTAGAAAAAATATACTATATGTATTGCTTCTGTATACGTAAAATGTATAATCGGTATAAAAAGTAGTCGACAAAGCATATATTTTAAAAAAAATGTTAAGCATATATTGAGACAATGGTAAACATGTATTAAATAATATCCCCATTGTATACAAAAAATGTCAACATACATTAAATAAAAATAGACATAAAATATTTTTTAATGTGAATTTTATATTTAAAAATTTTTAACATGCAAAATATTCCTGATGTATACGATACATGTACATTGTATGTGAAACAATGTTTATTATCATCAAAAGAATGTTCACCATGTTTTGAATATTTTTTACCATGTACTCAAAAAGTATATTTAATAAAAAAAATATACACCATATATTTAATGTGAAATATTTCACGTGTACACCAGAGATATACATTGTGTACTGAAAAATGTAGACATGTGTTGAACACAAAAGTAACCGATGAAAACCGACAAGGAAACAAAAGAGAAAGAAGTAAACTAATGAAAAAATAACAAATAATCAATGAAATAGTATAAAATAGCGAAAACCTGATAAAGAAACAAAGAAAAATGAAGGAAATAAAAAGGAAAAAACAAAGAAAAATAAATAAAAAATGAAAGAAAAGAAAAATAGTGAAAACCAAGAAAGAAGCAAATAAACCAAAGAAAATGTAGAAAATAAAACCCAATGGAAACCGAGGAAAAATTGAAGAGAACCGGAGAAAAAAAAGAAACAACAATAAACAAAACAAACAAAGAAAACTGCTGTAAAACATAGGAAACCGTGAAAACAGGGGAAATCAAAGAAAACCAAAGCAAAAAGTGAAATACAATGAAAACCAAAATAGGAAGGAAAAACCATTACAATAGAGTAAACATACAATACCGGGTTGGTCAACTACTGTAGCGAGAGAAGAAATGCTTGAGCGTACATCTCGCTATAAGCAACGGCGGGAGCTATATCTCGTTTATAGCAAGAGTAGCTTCAGTCTTGCCTGAGCTTTTTCGACTGGTTGTGCAGTACTTGGCCGGCCCATTTTTATCTCTTTTTTAGTTATTCACTGGTTCAGATCATGATTGCTGGTTTAATTCGATAGTTTCTTCTTCTTTTTAGCCGTTTCCCTGTTTCTCTACTATTTTTCTCTAGTTTTCCAGTTTTTTTCTTTCTTTTTTTCACCAAATTTCATTGCTTTTCTCTATTTTTCTTTCTTCTTTGTTTTTTGTTGTTTTTTTTACTTCTTTCTCAATTTTTATTTTTTTCTATGTTTTCTTAACTTTTCGGTTTTCATTATTTTTTTTGTTTTTACACACATCTTCTTTTTTTAGTACACAATATACATTTTTATTGTAGATGCGAAACCTTTTTTTGATAAATATTGAGTATTTTTTAAATACACGATCTACATTTTTATTTTTATACATGTTTTGAACACTCTTTTGAATACATCGTAAAAAAATCAAATGCGCAAGTCCACATTTTTCATTTATATCAGGTACATTTTTCAATACATGTTTAACATTTTTCAAATACAAGATTAACGTTGTTTCAAATATATATTTTGATGCTTATTTCCTTTTTTCATACAGATGATACATCATTGGTATAAATGTAAAATATTTTTTATACATGTTTAATTTTTGTAAATACATGATTAACATTTCTTCATATGTATGTTTTGATGTCTAATTTTTTCATGCATGTTATACATTTCTTGTATACATTAGAAACATTTTTTAAATGCATGAGTAACATTTTTTAAACACATATTTTGAACATTGTTGTTCTAGTTGTGGTTAACATTTTTTCAAATGTTATCAACATTTTTCTGAAGTTGCACTTTTTTTAACACTGCACAAACATTTTTCAAACTTATGTACTTTTTTTGAATTATGTTTATTTTAGCTTTATGTACATAACTAAAAGCAAAACAAAAATACAAAAGGAAAACAATAAACGATATCTAGGAACGAACGATGGAAGTAAACAAATGAAGACCGAAACGAACGAACAGTGCTACTAGGCCGACCCAATACTATGTCGCTTCACGAGAGCCCACGCTCTGTCTCACAAGAAGTGAGACATAGTCGCTTCCATAAGTGAGAATATCTCCCGCCCAGGCGAGAGTGACGTTGTGAACCGACTGTCGTGGCAGACGTGCTTTTTGGGTCAACCCAACACACTACCGATAAGACGCACCTGATTGGCCAATCCAATCCCCACCTGGTTCCTACTTATCCCTAGTACCTACGCTGCTGCGGTGACCCCTCGGTACGAAAACCATGTACCGTGAAAAATGTTTGTTACCATTAAAAGAATCTTCACCGTGTATTTTAAGAAAATGTTGATCATGTATTCAGAAAAGTGCTCAAAACATTAATTTAATAGAAAATGTACATTGTGTATTTTAAAAAGTTCAATGTGTATCAACGAAATGTCTCGTACACGAAAAAATGTATATGCTTTACTGCAAAAATGGTAGACATGTGTTGAACAGAAAAGTAACCGATGAAAACTGAAAAAGAAACAAAGAGCCAAATGAAACCGAAAATGAAACAAATAAAACAAACAAAATGTAAATAACACCAACAAAAATAATGAAAACAGTGAAAACCCCCAAAAACAAAGAAACCCCAAAAAGAAACAAAAAATAACAAAAACAAAGTAAAAAAGAAAGAAAAGAAAAAAAATCAGTGAAAAGCGAGAAAGAAACAAACGAACCAAAGAAATCGTTGAAAAAAGAAAGAAAAAAATGTAGTGAAAACCGAGAAAGAAATAAAGAGAACTAGAGAAAAAAGAAAGAAACAACGAAACACAAAAAAAATGCTACAAAACAATGGTAACAGTGAAATACAATGAAACAGAAGAGGTCCAAAAAGACCCAAAAGAATACAGTGAAAGCGGTGTTACAGTACCGAGCCGACCTAGTGATGTGTTAAGAGGAGAAACGCTTCAGGCGAAGGGAGCGTACATCTCGCTAGCTCCCACAGTCCCATGCTTGCAGAGAGCGATGTAGCGACAGACGTGCTTATTCAGTAGTTTTTATTTTATTTATTTTTGTTTTTCTTTACAATTTTATTTTTTCCTTTTTCTTTCATTTTTAATACATGTTGTATATTTTTTTGGTATACATCTAAAACAAATTTTGTACACGTTGAACATTTTCTTAATGCATGATTAACATCTTTATTTCAAATATATGTTTGATGCTTATTTTTTCATATACATTATATATTTTAGGTATACAATAGAAGCGTTATTTCGTACACGGTGAACATATGTTAAATACATGATTAACATTTCTATCAAAATATGTTTTGACGTCTACCTTTTTTGATATACATTGTGCATTTTTCATATACATAAGTAATGTTTTTTACACATGTTTAACATTTTGAATACATGATAATTTTTTTTAAATATCTTTTTGTGCCTATTTTCTATACACATTGTACCTCTTTTATACTCATGACACATTATTCTTATACACGGTTAAATTTTTAAAATTAATATTTACAAATACATGTGGTTGAGTCGATTCATTCATACACACTGTACATTTTTTGTATGGATCAGGAAATTTTTTACACATGTTTAACATTTTTTAAATACATGACTGTCATTTTTTTCAGATTGATGTTTTTGATTATTTTTTGAATGTGCATATCAAACATTTTTAAATTTCACTAACAGTTTCTTGAATTCTATTAGCATTTCTAAAATCATTCTAGTTTGTTTACACTGCATCAACAATTTTCAAATCCATTATTTTTAAAGAAATCAATTAAATATTATGTTTTTAAATATGTATTTATAATAGTTCTAAAAACAAATAAAAAAATTGAAAAAAATAGAACGAACGAGCGAATGGAAAACTGAAAGAAACGAACGAACCAACAGAAATGGCCGGCCCAGTAATGCGTTCCTTGAGGCGATGCTGTGCTAAGAATCACAACGGGCGGCACATAGCCGCGCCCGCGCCCGCACCCGATCGGCCAATCCCAATCCCCACCTGGCTCTTATCCCCAGTACCCACGCTGCGGCGGCGACCCAGCGACACCAAGACCTGTAGAACCCTAGCAGCAATTGAGCGGAGGAGCCCGATCGGAGGGTAAGAGAGAATGAGGGCAGGAGGCCGTGTCGGGGATCGGAGGGCGCGGCGCTTTTTTTCCGGCGCGGACCTCGCTGGGAAGATTGCTGCTGATCCGGTCTCTCGCGGTGGAGCAAGACGTACCAACATTAGTTCGCTGGATGATGATCTCCTACTTAAGCTTCTGCGGCGTCTACCCATCGATGCGGCTGTCCGCACCAGCGTTCTGTCCACTCGCTGGTGTCATCTGTGGAAGGGAGTCCAAGACCTGTCGTTCTGCGACTTGGTATCCCACACCAGGTCTTTTTCTGATCTTGTGAGGGAAGTGCTGGCTGGCCGTGAATCGGAGGAGATCCGACGCCTAGTGATCTGGATCGCCAAGCGTAGCAACGCTAGCATTTTTCTCGTGAACCCGTGGATCCGCATCGCTGCTGCTCGCGTAACAGGCCAGTTCGAGCTGCAGCTCCCTGCCTTGGGCGATGATGATGCTCATGGTTTTATTGAGGTTCCTTCCTTCTCGAAGGCTCGCCTTTTATCAATAAAGGCTATGGATGTGGAGCTCAGGCTGCAACGGGACGGGGTGTTCTTGGCCCTCAGGGGGATGCTGTTCACCGGCGTTCGTCTCAGTCAACATGGCACGTCCCTTGGGCACATTGTGACCCACTGCTGTCCCAAGCTGCAAATTCTTCAGTTGTCACGTGTCAGTGGTATTGGTGAACTGACTCTCTGCTCATCCTCTCTAATCGAGCTTAGACTTGCACATGTTACTGAAATGGTGCGGCTTGAAGTAACGACCCCAGGTTTGCGTCGAATCTATCTTGTAAACTGTTTCGCTTTCTCTCTGGATCTAGAATTGGACGCGGTGGTAGTTACTGCTCCAATGCTCAGTGCAGTGAATTGGCAGGGACCATGCCCCAGGGGTGTAAATTTTCCTGGCAAGACAATTCTTGATAGCCTATGTGTCAGTGAAAGTTCATCTGAAGTTGAAGAACATTCCAGTTTCATGGATGTCCTGAAGAGATTCAGGTTCACTAATCTCCTAACGGTGCACATGCCTATCACAAGAGTATGTTCATTGAATTTCTTGATGCTTTATTAATTTATGATGAAATTGGTGCTCTTGGGTCGTTATAATCATGTCTACATTATTTCCTCTTTCTGCTTGATTATTTTATCATGGAAATGTAAATTCAAGATATGTAACAATTTTTTCTCGTTATCAGTAGCATCCTCATGTGAAATTCCTTATTAACGTAGGAAATGCTGTATCTAAGACAGAAAAGAACTTATGTCATCGAATAGTACTTCGAATTCGTACAGTCCATGATGGCCGACCGGAGCGAGTGGTTGGGGATGAGGCTCTTGCTCGGCAGCCGGTGGTTGGTCATCGGCGACTTGTCCTTCATGCTCACCCATGTCTCGATCGCCTTCCGGTTTTCATGCTCATAGACTATAAAGAGTAAATTGCGCCACATGTCACTGAACTAAACTACTTGGTTCAAAACTCCAAATAGGTCGCCAAACTCCCAGACTGCCTCTCTAGGTCACTGGACTTGCTTAATTTGATCAGTCAAGGTCATTAGTAGGCCACACGGCAAAGTAGGGTGATGGGGCACTGCGAATATAGTGCTTGTTGTTTATGTGACCTTGTTCTACACCCTTGGGCAAAGATCCCTGTCACCACCGATTAGGTGAGTAATGAGTAAAACATATCTTTAAGTTAGAAAAACTAGAAAGGAACTAATTGTCCCTTGTTTAGCCTAATTGTGTGCCCTGTGTGGCTGCGTGCAGCATGTTCCCCTTATCATTGCTGCTGCCTTGGTAGTTAGTGCATGTGTATCCTCCTCTTCTAATAAGGATGGCTACCATGATAACACACTGTATGGTTTCTGAAATTTTGAATCTTGAAGCCTACGATGTCCTGATGCACGGATGCTCAGCATGAATCTTGGTACCTCCCTGTTTACAGATACGAAGCTGTGCTTGTTTTTTTTTTTGACTTGACTGTATGGCGAACATACTGCACATAGGCTGAGCAAGCCTATATTTCTCTTGCAAGCTATCTAGGCACCTTCATTTTCCATAATATTGGTATCTATTTTTTCAACCAAGCATATGAGTGTTGGGCCACACTGCCTACCAGGACACTAATTCCATTTTTTTTGCCTCTATTTACCATCACACTTTCCTGTAGTTACCAGCCAGTAAAGAAAAGCAATTACCATCATAACATTGTGTAATTACTAGCCCGTATAGATCATAGTATTGTTGCAGTGTAGAGTTGTCCAGTTAAAACAATTTCTGTCATGATAATTAAACAGTACTGACTCTATTTCTATCATGTGCTATGTCCTGTTTCCAGTGGTGCATATAATTAAACAGTACTGACTGTATTTATATTTCTACGATTGGTACTAAAAGTTACGCCATGAAAGTTTGCTGTTAGTGTGTGTATCTTTCTTCTTATTATTGCAATGATATGCAGCTTTCCTGCGTATTTGAGGAAAAAAAAGCGCAACATGTTTTGAGTGAACTTCACTCGTCTAGTACATTCAGTATCTTGGTCCAATCACAATTGCAGCCACAGATAGAGCAACAACCATCAAACAAACTATACCATCCGACCCATATTTTGCAGTTGAACACCCCTTGCGTCTGCATTTGCATACACAGCCTGATTGGCTCAATAACTTGACGTGTCACAATCCTCCCCGAAAGGTGAACATGCATCATCAGCGTGCATCTGAAAAGGATAGGTGCTTGGGCTGAGAATTACAATCATTTTCGCTTAAATGCAAACACTCATGCTCTATAGCTGTTACCAAAATGTTTATTCATTTTTTACTTTATTACTGTATCGTCTCTTTGTTTGCTTTGTTTGAAATATTAACTGATTTCTGACTTAATCATTTGTAGACTACAGAGGAACATCAAGGGCTAATTGAACCCATCAGACTGCCTAAGGTTGAAGAGTTAGAACTGTTCTTAACAACAAATGGTCATCTGTTTGCTGAAACGGTGGTATCATTTCTTAGGAGATGCACTGGATTGAAAAGGCTTCAGCTTAATCTTGTCTACTTGGATGTATGTCTCTTGAAATCCCAACTTTCTTTCCTTCACTCCTCACTGTACTACTTAGGCAAATAAACTTTAATATATTTGTTTACATCACTTTCAGGATCATAGTGACTGTATATGTGGTTGCCGTAGGGCAGAAGTTTGGGACCAGGCTGTGTATTTTGGTTCTCTAGTAGAATTGGTGTGGAGGGCCTTCAGAGGTACACTTGATGAAAAGAAGTTTCTGCTCAAGGTATTTTGGAGGGGATCGCTGCGGAAGTTCACCGCAGAACTTTTGGGTAATGCTGAACAGGCTGCAGAAATTAAACAGTGGCTGCACGCTGTTTGCCCTACATCATGTGTACTGGAGTTTCATGACTCTACTACCAATTGAAATGGCAGCATATGGTCTTATTCAGCTAAATGGTATCGTCTGGGAATGGATTGTGTCCTGGTATACATTGGAATATTGGTTTGCCAGTTTGGTATCTGATTGTTTGGTCAGTCAGTTCGTGACCTGATTGTAAGCACGAGGAGTTAAAATGCACTCTTACCTTTTGTGGTGAACAAATTGCCAAATAACCTGGCCCTGCACACATGGGCAGGCAACACCTCTGCTGTTTTTTAATTCGCTTAGTAATCATGTTTCATTAGATGTATTTTTTACCATTTGCCAAGAGTTGTCACTTGCTCACGCGATTACTGTGTGATAAGGCGACTTGACAGAAAATGAGTCACTCGCGACACGTCTTGAGAGGTGATAAGGCGAGTTGTCCCCCGCTTGCCCGGCGTCCACCATTCCCGTGAGCTTCCAAACCTTCCCCAACCGGTCGGCGTGCGGTGCGAGTGAGGTCGGTGAGAACCGGTGGTCGCGAACAGCGGAGGCGGCCCCGCTGTCGGTGGTGGAGTGGCTCACCCTGGAGGCAAGTCAGGAGATGGAGAGGGTGGTTCGATCCACCTTCCCAGATCCGTCGGAGTCGATGGTTGTTTGCGTCCGCATCATTCGCCGATCGTCGTTGGAGGAGAAGCTGAGGTTCACCGAGAAGGACGGCTGCACCATCGTGGAGATGATTTTTTAGGCGATGATGGAGGCCGAAGCTTCATACCCAGTTCAGGCGGCGGTCTGGAGCAGCTTCAGGGCCAGAAGCAGGCCACGGGTGAACATCACGAGGCCAGATCCCGGGAACTCCCCCCACTGCGCCCCGGTGAGGGCTCGAGGTGGTGGCAGGAAGCCTCCTCGCTGCCGCAACCTCTAGCCCCCTCCATGGTCGGGTGAGCGAGCATTCAGATGTCGCACTGCTCGAATTTGTTCTTGTTACATCGGGTCGAGTCGTCTCGTTATCCTAGCACATCGAATTTGGGTGGCTTAAATGGTGCGTGTCATCGATTTTCCCATTTAGGTCCTGAGATTAAGGTGTGTGTGGTATTATTTTTTTTTGAATGTTGGCAGTTGATCTGCCAAATTCATTGATCAGAAGAATTTTCCGTGAGACCTGGTCTCATAGAATTTTTTTCCAGGAAACACGCCCAAGCGGACAACACCAAAATAAGAAATCAAAGGAGAAGAAAGGAGACTACTATAGCCAACTCAGCCGGGGTCAAAAGGTATGCCAGCACCAGCCATATTCCACATCTTGATTTCATCCATGACCTTTCGCTTGAACACGGCTTTAGTCATTGCCTCCTGCTGGAATAGCCGTCGGTTTCTCTCACGCCAAATCTCCCACGCCGTCAAATGAACGAGAGAGATCAAGCCCTTTCTTCTCGCCGGCGGCGTCAGCGCGTTGCGCTCAAACATCCAGTCCTTGAAGACGGAGGTAGCACTCCATGTAGCTGTATTCAATGACGAAAAATTGGCCATCGACGCAATGCCGTCCCAGATGGATCTAGACCACGAACAGTCCACGAGGAGGTGGAAGGGGGTTTCCAGGTGGCGAACACACAAAGGGCAGAAGTAGCAGTTCTCCCAACCCCGACGAAGGAGAGCGTCAGCCGTGAGAATTTTGCCAAGACGGTCCAAATGAAGAATCTGCATTTCCCCGGCGCCCATGCAGACCAAATTAGCTGATGGCCATTAAGGGGAATCGATCCCTCAAACTGAATCAAGTAGGCTGAACGGGCAGTATATTTGCCGTCAGACGTGAACCTCCATCGGAAAGTGTCCGACTGATCCTGCCGAAGCTCCACGTCGTCCCGCAGGCCTGCCAACGCTACAAGCTCATGAAGCATGTCTACCGTGAGACCCGTTGCAAGGTCCAGGAGCCACTGCTCGTTTGCCAAAGCCTCTCGAACCGTCCTATTCTTCCTTGTGGAGGCAGCAAAAAGGGATGGTGCAATAACTTTGGGGCACTGCCCTTTCAACCATCTATCCTGCCAAAATCTGGCCCGTGCACCATCACCAAGCAAGATTTCCGTTGCCATTGCAAAAAGCCCTTCCTCCTTCGAATTGCATGGCAGCGGCCCACACACCCATGGCCTAGTTGGGTCTTGCCAAGCTAACCACATCCAACGGAGACGGAGCGCCACGCCAAACTTAGCGAAATCCATCACACCTAAGCCTCCCAAAACTTTGGGGCGGCACAACAAGTTCCATGCAACCCGGCAATCACCACTGTTGCAAACATTCTCCCCATTCCATAACCACGCGCGACAGAGTTGGATTAGCCGCTTGATAACCCACTGGGGTAGGATGTGCACCGTCATTAGGTAGACGACAAGAGAGGCCAGATTTGCTTTGAGGAGTGTGAGCCGCCCACTCTTAGCCATCATGCCGCCCTTCCAAAGAGCCATTCTGTTCCCAAACTTGAGGACCAGCGGCTCAAGGTCCACCTTAGTTAGGCAACGGAGCGAAAGAGGCATCCCAAGATATGTCGTCGGAAATTGCTTGATGGGAATCCCAAGCGGCGCCAAGATTTGTTGGAGATTCAGAGCAGCACAGCGAATTGGCAGAGCCAAACTTTTTGCGGTATTTGTATGCAGGCCTGAGACCGAAGCGAAGCAATCGAGCAGTAACTTGATCATACAGGCGTCATTCTTAGAAGGCTTCATAAATAGCGCGACATCATCGGCATAAAATGAGCAGCGCATGAGTCACGTCTTCCTGGTAGCTTCGACAAAAGCCCCTCTTCGGTGGCAAGATTCATCATCCGCTGCAACGGGTCCATGGCCAAGATGAATAGGAAAGGGGAAATGGGTTCCCCTTGCCTTAAGCCTTTACGGTGGATCACATCCTCAGACTGATGGCCGTTGATGAGGACATGAGAAGAGGAGATGCGTAAGAGCATAGCAATCCAGCTTCTCCACCGCGCACCGAACCCTCTAGCTTGCAGCATATCCAAGATGTACTCCCAGGAGACAAAATCAAAGGCCTTCGCGATATCCAACTTGAGAAGAACGGCCGACTTCTTAGACTTATGCAGAAATCTGACTGTGTTCTGAATGTAGAGGAAATTCTCCTGTATGCTGCGGTTCTTAATGAACGCGCTCTGGCAGTGATCAACAAGCTCCGGCAATTTCGGCGCCAAACGACGAGCAAGAAGCTTTGTAAAAATCTTTATAATGCTGTGAACCAATGAAATTGGCCGAAAGTTAGAAAGGTTATCCGCTCCATGCTTTTTCGGAATAAGCACAATGAGAGCCTTGTTGACTTGGGCTAACCCCCTACTGTCCATTCTGTGCAGTTGGTTTAGAGCCGCGAGAACATCGAGCTTAACAATGTCCCAACAGTGCTTGTAGAAGCCCCTAGAGTATCCATCCAGGCCTGGTGCCTTTTCTGTTGGCATGTCGTCTAAGGCCAACTTAATCTCGTCAAGCATGAATTCTCCTTCAATATCCGACAGGTCGACCTGACTCAGGCCCAGCTCCTCCCAGTCTAGGCCAAAGGAGATGTTTTGCGCGACACCAAAAATGCCCATGAAGTGCTGGTGGGCCAGCTCGGACATAGCCACACGATCTGAAACAGCGCCTTTTGGCCCATGCAGAATGTGAATTGTGTTTCTATTGCGTCTGGCGTTCACTTTGCACTGGAAAAAACGAGTGTTAGCATCTCCTGCCTTAGCCATAACACTCTGCTTCTCTGACGGAGCTTTACTTTAAGCAGCACTACAAGCCCGAGGGAGCGAGACTTGAGCTCGGCTCGAAGACTGCTCTCCTCAGCAGATAGCTGCCTATGATCCTGAGCCATGTCAAGCTGCAAGTTAATCTCATTAACAATATGCATCTGTTTCTGGATATCCCCAACAATTGTCTTGCTCCAAGCCCGAAGAGCTTTGCTAAGTCGCCATAGTTTAACATTGAGCGCAGCGAGAGGGCATCTCCCCCCAGCCGACTCTGCCCAGGACCGCACCACTAGATCCTTGAACCCATTTACAAATAGCCAATAGGACTCAAACCTAAACCTCCTATTGGTTTTCAGCACTGCGTCATTGCGAAGGAGCAGCGGGCAATGATCGGAAATGGAGGAAGCTTGAGGTAGCAGCTTGGCGGCCGGGAACAAAAGCTCCCAATCTATGTTGGCAAACACACGGTCAAGCCTGACAAGAGTCGGAGTCTACTGCTCGTTGCTCCAAGGTATGCCGGAACTTGTTCATCCAACGTCGACAAATGTGATCGTTGTTCTTGTCGCTGGGGTCAGTTATAAGGTTAAAATCACCAACTACAAACCATGGCCCATTCATGGCGTTGTGGATATCTGCTAACTCATTCAAGAAGGACTGCTTGCGCTCATAGTCATGAGGACCGTAAACGGTTGTGAGCGTCCACAGCATATTCTGCCCCACCGGAGTGAACTCAGCCGTGATAGAAAAGGTGCACACAACAATCGCAGTCGCAGAAAAGCAGCTAGAGCGCCAGCAGAGGAGTATACCTTCGCGCGTACCATCAGCGGGCAAATAGGAGTGACAATCAAAAGCACTACCAGTAATCTCCAGAATGTCACTATCGGCTACAGCAGATAGTTTAGATTCTTGTAAACAGACTATAGAACAAGAAAGCTGATCCAACATGGCGCAAACTATAGCCCTGCGCGCTTGGTTGTTCAGACCGCGCACATTCCAGCTAACAATAGATAATTGGCTACTCATTAATAAACTTAGCAATCCACTGAATGAAGTCTAGGCACGACATGCCCCAAGGAACTAAATACAAGAAGGGCCCAAGGACCCTCCTGGCAGCCAAACAGCGCACCATAGCACACATCAAGGTGTTCAAATGACAGCTAATCATGATAACTAAAAGTCTGCGAATTAAGACAGGCCACACGCTCAAGCTGCGCGCCCAGCAAGCTCATCCAAGATGGCTTGCAACTCAGCATCAGGCAGTGAAAGCTGAGAAGGCGAGGACAAGCCCGCAATCTCAGCCAGCTTGGCTACATTAGCAGGTGGCATCGGGGCGCGG